GCGAGGTCCCATTTGAATCCGCCGTGGGTACCCACTGTGCTGGGCCCCCCAGCAGGCCTCGAAAGTGGCGACAATTTCACAGATCGCAGCCCCCCAGGGATGGCGAGGTCCCATTTGAGTCCGCCGTTGGTACCCACTGTGCTGCGCCCCCCCAGCAGGCCTCGAAAGTAGCGACAGTTTCACAGATCGCAGCCCCCCAGGGATGGCGAGGTCCCATTTGAATCCGCTGTGGGTACCCACTGTGCTGGGCCCCCCCCCAGCAGGCCTCGAAAGTGGCGACAGTTTGGCAGATCGCAGCCCCCCAGGGATGGCGGGGTGCCATGTGAATCCGCCGTGGGTACCCACTGTGCTGCGCCCCCCAGCAGGCCGCGAAAGTGGCGACAGTTTCACAGATCGCAGCCCCCCAGGGATGGCGAGGTACCATTTGAGTCCGCCGTGGGTGCCCACTGTGCTGGGCCCCCCAGCAGGCATCGAAAGTGGCGACAATTTCACAGATCGCAGCCCCCCAGGGATGGCGAGGTCTGATTTGAATCCGCCGTGTGTGCCCACTGTGCTGGGCCCCCCAACAGGCCTCGAAAGTGGCGACAGTTTCACAGATCGCAGCCACCCAGGGATGGCGAGGTCCCATTTGAGTCCGCTGTGGGTACCCACTGTGCTGGGCCCCCCAGCAGGCCTCCAAAGTGGCGACAGTTTCACAGATCGCAGCCCCCCAGGGATGGCGAGGTCCCATTTGGATCCGCACGTGGGTACCACTGTGCTGGGCCCCCCAGCAGGCTCGAAAGTGGCGACGTTTCACAGATCGCAGCCCCCCAGGGATGGCGAGGTCCCATTTGATTCCGCCGTGAGGTACCCACTGTGCTGGGCCCCAGCAGGCCTCGAAAGTGGCGACAATTTCACAGATCGCAGCCCCCCAGGGATGGCGAGGTCCTATTTGAATCCGCCGTGTGTACCCACTGTGCTGGGCCCCCCAGCAGGCCTCGAAAGTGGCGACAGTTTCGCAGATCGCAGCCCCCCCCGGATGGCGAGGTCAAATTTCAATCCGCCGTGTGTGCCCACTGTGCTGGGCCCCCCAGCAAGCCTCCAAAGTGGCGACAGTTTCACACATCGCAGCTCCCCAGGGATGGCGAGGTGCCATTTGAGTTCGCCGTGGGTACCCACTGTGCTGCGCCCCCCAGCAGGCCTCGAAAGTGGCGACAGTTTCACACACCGCAGCCCTCAGGGATGGCGAGGTCCCATTTGAATCCGCCGTGGGTACCCACTGTGCTGGGCCCCTCAGCAGCCCTCAGTGGCGACAGTTTCACACACCGCAGCCCTCAGGGATGGCGAGGTCCCATTTGAATCCGCCGTGGGTGCCCACTGTGCTGGGCCCCCCAGCAGACCTCGAAAGTGGCGACAGTTTCACAGATCGCAGCCCCCCAGGGATGGCGAGGTCCAATTTGAGTCCGCCGTGTGTACCCACTGTGCTCGGCCCCCCAGCAGGCCTCGAAAGTGGCGACAGTTTCACAGATCGCAGCCCCCCAGGGATGGCGAGGTCAAAACTGTGCCCAGCAGCAGGCCTCGAAAGTGGCGACAGTTTCACAGATCGCAGCCCCCCAGAAATGGCGAGGTCCAATTTCAATCCGCCGTGTGCACCCACTGCGCTGGGCCCCCCAGCAGGCCTCGAAAGTGGCG